AGACTAGAAGGTTCCTCTTTGGCTATTTTTTGAACATTAGAACATGTTTCAAATGTATTTCACTGTTCATTTTTTTTTTTTAGACTGGCACTAGCCTAGTGGTGCTAGCACACCGCACTGTTTACATCTCTTTTTTCAAAACCAAATATCGGTTCCTTAACTTTCACGGTTACTAATATATCACAATTAGTCAGAATACCTAAAAGAGACACTACGTCTAGGTCACCATCTCCAACTTCCATATTACCCAGAATTCCAAAATAGCCCATTTCGAAGTGAGACTGTTTATATTGAGAGCTGGCCTGGCCCATTCCTCCGAGATCAGAAAGACATAAAAGGAGAGGTGCCAGAAGAAGTGAGGGAGGCTAAAATCTGTTCAGCACGCGGAGGCCAAACCAAAGCAGAGGCTGCCCAGCTATGACAGCAGGGTTAGTGGGCCTCAGTTTAAGTATCGTCTTGGGGGTTGTTTATGCTCTTATATCCTCTCACTGCTTCCCTGTGTTTTTCTCCTTAGTGTGGCTTGGACACACTGCACTTTGTATCATATTGATCTTTTTGTATCCCTTTGCACAATCATTCTTGAAGGATTCCGATGTCACTGCACTAAAAATAGTAATGCATGAAGTTACTTGATTCAAATGTGTACATAATTTGCACATAAGTGCAGTACAAAATGTACAACAAGTTCAGAATTGCTGTTTTCAGACACCAAATGTAGCTGCAGTGTTTAAAATGATTGTAATCTGTACATTCTGAACAACTGCTCAGGTAAATACTGTTAAATTAATATGTATGATTAATAAAGCTGTAGAACATCAACAGAGAAGCTCTAATAAAATTAACATCCACATTTATCATGTTTAAAAAGCAGAGAGCAAACCTTAAGACAGAAATATGAGCAAAAATGTATCATTTTAACGACTTCAACGTCACAGAATTCTCAAAATATTAAATAAGACAGAGAAAAATACCTCAAATCCACATTGTATAATTTATAGTTGTATATAAAACGGAAAAAATAACTTTTTGAGCAGTTTACATACCTTCGGCAAAATAGCTGAATGTAAAAGTTTGAACACATTACAACAAATTACAAGTTTTGTCGATTTTCTAAGTGAAAATAAGTTAACAAAGTCTCTACAGGGAACACACTTTGAGAAAAAATAAACATAAAATATAAAATGTGTTGTAACAGGCCATTTTACTTTTTATCTAATACGTTGAGTTCAGCGAATAAACAGTAAGAAAATCAACAAAACATGAAATTTGATCGAGGTGCTCAAACGTTTGCATTCAACTGTATTTTTACACACTTCAAAAACGATTTAATGTTTTACCTTAAAAAAAAGTAAGTAACCTGGTTGTATACAAGATGTTAGTAACCTGGTTGCCTTCAAATTATGAGTTTATTGAACTAATTGTAAGTTAAAAGAACAATAATCTGTTTTATATACTGTAACTTTTTATTTGAAGTTCAGTGAAGTCAAAATTTTAAGGCCGCCAGGTTACTAACTTCTTGTATATAACTTATATACAAATTTGTATCTAGATACACTAGATAAATTATATCTGGATATAATATATAGATGCAGAAATATGAATCAGGCAAATTCAATATATTTCAATGTACAGGTTTGAGTCTGTCACTCTTAACTTGTGGTCGAGCTTCTACAAAGCCTCTGACAGGCTGACGTCAATAATGTTTAAGTGTGCCGCAGTTAATGTCCCAATACGGTGGCCCAGGGGGCCGAATGATCTATGTCGGGGTCAGAGTTCAGTGCTGTGATGTCAAAGATCAGATTGGCTGACAGGCTTGAGAAACTCCAAAGATTTCTGCTGGAACTCAGTTGTGAAGAACTTTGACGGTGGGTTTGTGGGACAGCAGGCTAACTTTGGGCTCAGTGCATTTCGCAGAGTTAAATATCTTTGGGTTCAGCTCAAGATTAGCTCAAGCTGCTAACCACTGAATCCACCACTGCGGAATACCAATGTGCTGCCAATGCTACGCTCAGCTGAACAAGCTTCTGCTATCTTCCAGACCTTAGAGCAGGACTTGTTATCGAGCCCATGCCACCAGAAGAATGTGAAACATTTCGGTTCTAAAGCCAAACAGAAGACAAGGGAGGAGTCCAGTGGAAAGTGATTCATTATGGCTGTGTTTGTGGCCTTGCTAACGTTTGACAGAGCGCAGATTGCAGACCATGCGGCCTGTGTAGCATCAAGGGAGGCTTCATGATCTTCCTGAGCTCAGCTGTTGACGGTTGCCGATCTTGTGTGCTGAGCTGAGGTGGTTAGTATGGTTTTTGGAAAGTGGATCATCAGCACAAACACGAGCTAAAGCTGCGCTAAGCTTACTGCTCTGATTGTCATGCCTCAGTGATAATAAGATAACGCTGTTTGTTCCTCTTATCTCAGCACTGATAGCACTTATCAACCTGTATATTTACATATTAGAGCCTGACTGATATATCAGTCGGCCAATAGTATAGACCAGAGGTCACTAATAGGCGTACTGCAGTCCGAGTCCGGACCCAGACACTGTCCTATGAGGACCTGGACCTATAACTGATAAACTATGGAGAATTACTTAATTTTGACGGGGTGGTCCTATTTTAATCTGCATAACTTTTCTAGCCTTTATTTTAGCTTTAGCGGCCCGGGAGACTCACAGACCAATCGCATGCGGTATAAATATCACACATGACACAACTCAGCCAATCAGATCTGTGCATTACGATGAGCACTGAGACTCGAGTGAGTGATGCAAACACAAGGGAGGGATGAGGCGAGAAACAGCAGTCGGAGAAGAAAGTGAGTCAGAGGGAAGTTATTTCACATGTCGTGCTCTAAAAACAGAATACTGACAATAAATGTTGTTTAAATATTACTGAATTGTACTTTATTTGATTTGATATTCAGTTGTTGATTGTATAAGATGTTGATATACCTACTAGGCTACTTCAGTAAACAGTATATGGCACTGAATCATGATGCAAGTCAGACATTATGATGCTTGAGGAAATTTTCTCTAACTGGACCTTATTGAATTTGATATGCCCCTGGTATAGACCAATACGGCCAATCTGTGGGTTTTATCAGCATCTGTTAAAGTATCACCGACAATTAGCATCTTTTATGGGATTTGAACTCACAAGCATTGAAAATCTTGGTTAAAATAATGTTTAAAATGTATCCAAACCTCATCTTTAGCATAAGAATAACATGTTATAACACTTTAAAAAATCTATTATGATTAAAAAAATAGAAGGAGGTAATAAACAGAAACCAAACCTGTGAATTCTGGGTTGCTCCGCTCCCCAGTGCTACAGTATTTATATTTTTGTATAAGACTGGAACCTGCTGTTTATTTGGGTTTAACAAAAATAGCCATTGAGAACAGGTTTTACAAATTACAGTGGACAAAACTGTTAAAGTATAAAATTAACATATAAAATACCAATATAAATATATCATTACACCACAATATGCCAGTTTTCTGACCACATTGTGGAACAGTTCCTAAAAACACTTTCCAACCATGTTTGTAAAAAAGAGCATAATTAGTCCTGTTTTATTGGATTTAGTGTAGCATAGGATGTGAAATATTGAATATAAATCATATAAAGCATTCATGTTCATAGCTTTTGGTATTATTTTTAAAAGTGGCACTATTTTGTCTTTCCCAATTTTTTTAGATGTCAGAAAAAAATAAATATTGTGACATATTGTGTATCATAAAAACTTCCCAAAGTATCGTGATATTGCATTTTTGCAGTATCATCCACCTCTATTATCGGCCGATATTATCAGTTATCTGAATATTTAGCCACTCAAATTCGGTATCGATATCAGCCACGAAATGACCTCAGCACTCAGACCTTAATATACAGTATATACATTAAAACTTAAGCTTGTATCAGTGGCCAATATATTGCTTGCTGATAAATGAGAAAATCGAATTATTATTTTATGTCAGATATTGATATTACTGCTGATAATTCCCCATAATAGCTTATCAGTTCATTTATGCATTAAAATATAGTGATGCACATGTTTACAGTGATTGTCACGTCTGGTTTATTTATGTCACGGCTAAACCTAATCAATGATCCTGTGAATTACTCGAGGAGTTTTAACGTCTTATGCTCACTGCGCTTCGTATTTGTTATGTGAGCTTGTTTTAAAACGCAAAAATGAAATTGTTAGTTATTGCTATCAGTACAGAAGCCCTAAAAGCCCTTGGATTCTCATGTTTCTTTACTCCATTTTTCTGTAATAAGGAGATATTTTCATTTTTGTTTCGAGTTCTCAATTATATCATTATCATGACATAATAAGTGTTATCTCGATAAAACATTGTTCATTATAGTGAACTTAATGTCTTAGTCAGTAAATAGTGCAGCATTTTTGAAAGACAGCCACCCCCGTAAGTGAATACATGGACTAATGTGTATTTTTTTTGTGCATGTAAATGCTGCCATGATTTGTGGGACATCACTGATTTTAGTTTTAAAGTGTATTTATTAATAAGCTGTTGCATATCGCTGCTGACAGAAGAAAACCTTGTATCTCCATTTTTGTCATTTTTCAGTTTTTGACATAATTTGAAAATGCATGTTGCTCTTTTCATTGTTTGTAAATTTCATGAGGAATGGACCAAAAGAAACAGCCCAAAATGGCTTGGAAAAAATTCTGGTTCCATTGACTCACATTAAAAGTAAAGTATGTTTTTTCCTTCTCCTGTAAAGTTACCATTTTGGAGATACGAGGTTTTCTTCCGACAACAGCGATATGCACTTTTAAAGTTAAATCATCTTATTGTGCTCAGCTTGTTTTACTTAAGGGGATGAATGTTGTCTATGTATGTGGGATATATGTGATGCGGCACATCAAAGACAAATTTCCATCATACGTTGTAAGTTTTGTATCTGAAATCGTGACAATGAACTAAACAACTCGAGTTCCTCTGTGAAGCTGACAGATTCTGAATGCCTCCTCAGGGTTGCGCTTCATTCAGAGTCCAGGGAATGTGACCTCGTCGCTAGGGAAGCCGGTTGACGTCCAGTGCATCCTGCAGGGCAATGGAGGCGACGAGGGCCCGCCGGACATCCTGTGGCTCAGAGAGGGTCAGCCGCTGGAGTTCGCCGACACCAACCAGGTGCAGGTGCCCTACAGCGAGGACACCTGGCTGGTCATCAGCACGCTCCGGTATGCCACCTGTCTGCCTGGTCATCTGTCGGTTTGTCTTCTTTTACTGCGGATGACCCCGTTTATGGGTCCAGTCACCTCAATTCCGCATGCATGTTCTCATATTGGCTCACGCGGCCGAGCATGGTTTTAAAATGGCTTTTGACTCTTTCTCTAATGTGGCTGACTGCTTAATCTAACTGTAATCCTAATTCTGAGCTATGAATCTCCCGAATTGGGCTAATCCCCTTCTTTGTGTGCAGGATTGAAGAGGTCCAGCTGTCGGACATGGGCGCCTACCGCTGTGCAGTGGTCACGGAGGAAGATGAGTTGGAGTCCGTTGAAGGGCACATCCAATTAGAGGGTAATTCTTCTTTGTTTCTTTGTAGTTTCTTATTGGCATCGGGTTTAAGCCACAGATGGCGATGGAATTCAGACGCCATTCATCCTCCGGTCCGTCTAACAGACCAAGCTGACTCATCTCATCTCATAGGCTCCACATTTAAGCCTTAAAAGTCCAAATATAATCCTGTGTATGCTGTTCAAATGGAATGGCACAATTACATGATTAATTACATAGCTAATCATCATACTCAATGCATACTCATTAATATTTGGGATATTTATTAAAGCAGGTCAGCTGTGTACATTCTGTACATGGTTTACGGTATCTAGCAGGTTGACATCAGTGTCACAGCCAGCACTTAAAGGGGAATTCCACAGATTTTTCCAAGTTTGTGCATAATTCACTGGGATTTAGGGTGATTCTGAGTGGTTTGGTGTGAAATGGTTCCTTGTTGAGACTCAGATGTCTTTATAGTGGTGGTGATAGGAACCAGGGGTCACCATGACTACAACACAAATATATATTTGTGACATTTTATTTACTATCCAAAACCACCAGTGAACCTACATGTGTGTTCTGAGTTTTATATGCAATGCTACTGATGGCTAGTGGAGAATCAGATATAATAAGTTTTCTTCAGGGACTATTTTGCCTCACAACACACTACATGTATTCCTCCACTGTGGATGGTGTTAGGAAAAGTGTTTTAGACCAATATTTATATCCCAAAATTATCATAAAACAGTGTCTCAGACATCAGGCAGTGAATTCATAAGCATTTCATGTAATGACTTTCTGTGAGGGAGCTTTTAGAGGTGGACGTCTGGTTCCTATCACCTCCACTGTGAACAATTCTGACTCAGTAAGTTTGTCTAGAACAGAGCGTTTCACACCGAACCACTCTGAACGACTCTGTTTAATTATGCATCAATTTCTAAAATTTGGTGGAATTCCTTTTTAATACTGTGTGAACTGTAAATCTTGTGATTATTGAGAACGTTAATAGACCCAGCACACTTTGTCTGAGCATTTTATAACCATGACATAACCATGCCGTAAACATGTCATAACAGATTTCATGTGTTGTCATGACAGATTTTGTTCAGTGTCATAACAGTAATAGCTGCCTTGACAGGCGCCATAATGTTTGATGTCATGACAGCTTGTATCACCCTAGTTAGCTGTCATGGCATGTAACATTGTAATGTCATAACAATTAACAGTAATGGCAACATGACACTGTTATATTAATCCGCATTGGAATGATTAGTAATAACATGCAAGTAATAGCAATAAAAAGACATCTTACCTTATAAAACCAGATTTTTGACAGACTGGATCTCTGGTTCATAGAACTTGCGGAATGTAAAAATCGCTGGTGTAGGTAGCTCATCATCAAGGGTCATATGTGGGCAGCTAAACATGGAGGAATCTTAATGATGACTTTGTTGACCTTTTATGAACCTAATTATAACATTATTACCGCACAAAGAATTGTTTTTGTGGTATTTATCCATTTGAAACTGACATAAAATATTTCAGGGGGCTCAGACTGAACCCCCCCGCCCACCCAGCTGTGCCTCAGGTTGACTTAATTGATTTCTTTCACTCTCCCTTTCAGGTCTCCCTCATTTCTCAGTGGAGCCTCGCTCTATGCCTGTAGTGGCGAATAAAGGCCTGAGCCTGCAGTGCGTTGCCCACGGCCCCCCTGAGCCCGTATGGGTCATCTGGCTTCAGGATGGAGCCCCTCTCAACACGCTGAGCGACCCTGTGGCCCTGTCTCCATCGACCCTCAACATCACAGGTACTTAACAATCATCATTACGTGTAATAACTAGGGCTGTCAAAGCTAACATGCTAATTTGCAGCATTTATTTAAAGTGCTTATCCTGTTAAGCCCTAAAGCCTTGGGTTCACTACACGACTTTTAAAGTCTGCACAGATTTTAAAAGACTGGGCATCTCCCACTATTACACTGTTTTTTTTTTTTTTGGGTGACCGAAATATTAGGGACACTAAACGATTAGGGATCACACACTACTCGACTTTACAGCTGTTGCTAACCTGAACGCAACTCACTGAACTCGCGCAGACTCTCACAAACTCTTGCATTCTCCCGTTACTAAGAGACCCAAATAAACAAACGTGGAGCTGCTGTTTTCTTTCCCTTTTGCGCTGAAACAGTAAAGATAGGTAAACATGTTTAAGTGAGGGACACTGATTTAAAATGTGATCAGTTGGGATTTTTAGAGTTTTAAATGTACATAAACTCGATTGTGCCTTAAACTTAGCTCATTAAAAAGCTTTGCTCCACATGAGAGACTCTTGTCACCATTTTTCGTTGTTCACTCGCTGTATTTTCTTCTTTTGCGCTCTCAGTTTTCATTGGCTGTTGCAGCAATCCGTTCAGATTGAGTCGTTGACCAGTTTATGCTAGATTACACTCAGAGTCGGGTCGAGTCTGCAACCCTCACACACGACTTGACTCTCCCTCCAACTGTCGACTCTGACTGCAGACTAGAGCCAACCAGCACAGACTCAGCCAGACTGAGACTCTCAAAACTGCAGAACTTACATAGTAGCTTTATCACAGTTACTGAATCATGTATAGTAGTTACTGAATGGTCCTAATACAGGGTGTCCTAAGAGGAGTCTTATTTGGCCCATATTATCTGTTTTTCTTGTATGTTTGCATTTTATCCTGAGGTCCACTTTTAATGGTTGTGTGAAAATTATATATCAAAATCAGTCATAATTCATCTTTCACAACCTCTCTTTATCTCTTAGAATTAAACGAGCTGTTTTTGTTACTGTGCCTTTAAGACTGGTGTGAAATATGTAAATGAGCTCTGTTCTGGTTGGCTGCCCAATATTGCGCCTCACTCAGAAAGCAGTCCAAGCTGAAACGCTGCTTATAACTTTAGTGCGAGTGGGCGGGGCTAAACTGCTGTGCCTCACTCAGAAAGCAGTCCAAGCTGAAACGCTGCTTATAACTTTAGTGTGAGTGGGCGGGGCTAAACTGCTGCAGGCTGAGTAGGAGAATAATGTGAATTTATCATACGCACTGTATGGACGGATGCATTTTGAAGCTTTAACAGTGTTTATGAATCACATAAACTCATCGCACAACTTTTTTTATTTAAAGAAAATTGGGTTTTTCATGATACGAGCCCTTTAAAAATAAATAATACGCAAAAAAATGGTTCGATTTTTTAATAGATTTTTCTAAGTGTTCCTACCAGTTTAAACACCCAGAGACAAAAACAACAGCAGGCTATTTTCTGTAAAAGGAACTTCGGGTTTCGAACGCATGTGTTTATTTTCGATTCTGCTGAAATGGAGCGTGTTAATGGAGAGTTGACCAATCCGGTCACTTTGTGAATGAAATAAAACCACACTGACTCATCCTGCGTGCATTCCCCTCTTCTGAACTTTCGCAACTCTTAGACATCTTCATGAAGAAGAACGTGTTTGAAGAAGTGTGAACACCCTCAGTCAAACATGCTTTTGTTGATTTTCCAAGTGAAAATAAGTAGCACATCCTCTACAAACTGAAATCTGGCAGTTTTCTGAGAATTTTAGTGCACACTTTCTATTTATTTGCTGAGTTCAATATATTGGAATAGATCGCTGTTGTCGGAAGAAAACCTCGCATCTCCAAAATGGTACCTTCACAGGAGATGGAAAAAACCTGCTTTACTTTTAATGTAAGTCAATGGAACCAGAATTTTTTCCAAGTCATTTTGGGTCATTTCTTCTAGTCTATTCATCATGGAAATTGACATACAATGTAAAGGCCAGCAGGTATTTTCAAATTATGTCAAAAACTGAAAAACAGCAAAAATATGTTATAATTTAGTATACTGGACCTTTTGCACAAGCCACATGTTATGTTTTATTTTTTCCCCTGGTATGTTAAATTAACAATTATTAGCAAATAAACAGTAATTGTGCATTACAATGTGCAGGAGTGTGTTCTCTGTAGAGGATGTGTTCACTTATCTACTTTCAGATAATTGTCAACAACATGGAATTTGACCAGGGGCGCCAAAACTTTTGCATATGTACTATTTATTCGTTCAGCAACCCTAATTTAAGTATATGAACCCAACATATATTAAAAAATGAATTAGGGCTACATATTTTATATGTGAATGGCCTGTGACTTTATTATTAAGATGTAATTACATGCTTAGTTGAGTAATAAGTGACATTTACATTGAATTTAATTTCTATACATAACAGGTTCAGGTCATATTTGCCCTCCTGACTGTGACGAAAGTGTGTAAGGGGTGTTTTTTTCATTGACACTCACTGTATACAGGCACCGAAACCACACAACAATGCAGATCTTATCCAAACAAAGACAAGTGGTAAGATAATTGACCTGTCCAGGCTCCGCCCACGGTCGTGTGCTTTCATAGCAACCAGGTTGGTCAGGCGTCAGAGTGCAGGTCAAAATACCATTCAATCTAATGTTGAGTTTCCAGTTTAAAATGCTGCACTCTTAAAAAAAGATGGTCATTCAAGGGTTCCTTAGTGAAGACAGTGGGTCTGTATGGAATCATGAACACTCAAAGAACCATTTGCATGTTTAAATGGTTCTTAGCATGGGGAAATGGTTCTTCAGATTGATGGACAATGGGTTGTATATAGCACCTCTATTTCGAACGATTCCATGCTGAAATGAATGAATGAAATGGTTCTTCAGATTGATGGAGAATGTATTGGATATGGTTCCAAATAGCACCAAAAAGGTTCTGCTATTGTAACACTGTCAAGCTTCTATTTAATAGAAGAATGCTTTTTGGTTCTATATAGAATCATTTTTACAAAGGTTCTATATAGAAACGTGCACTCTTAAAAAGTTTGTTCTTTAAGGGTTCTTTGGTAATAGTTCTATATAGAAGCATGAATACTCAAAGAACCTTTTGCATAATGAAAGCGTTGGTCAGATTGATGAAAAAAGTGCATGAATGTGTTATAGACGGTTCTACATAGCACCCAAAAGGGCTTGACACCGTAACAATAGAAGAACGCTTTTGAATGCTATATAGAAGCATTTTCACAAAAGGTTCTATATAGAATCATGTACAGCACACTCTCCATCAATCTGAAGAACCCTTTGATCATGCAAAGGGATCTTTAAATGTTCATGGTTCCATAATCATTTTCTTTACTAAAGAACCCTTAAAGCACCATCTTTGTAAAAAGTGTATACGACACATTCTCCATCAATCTGAAGAGCTATTTGACATGCAAAGAACCATTTAAGTGTGAAATGGTTCTAGATGAAACTCATGGTTCTAAATACAACCATTCCCTTTACTAAAGAACCCTTGAATGACCAACTTTTCTTACGAGTGAACACAAATGCGCTGAAAGTCAAAGTGCTGTCGTTTTAAATGTAGAGGAAACCGAAACTCGACTGAAATTTAGTCTTAAACAGTGTTGCTTTCATGCGCAGAACCCGTAGATGGTGTGATGGAGACGGTTCTGCACGTGGGGGGGGTTTGAAGGCCTTTTTAAGTTTGATATATGGGACATTTTGGTGTCTGTTAAAGCAACAAGAAGGTCTGCAAAGCGGTTTAGATCAAAGAGCGTAGCAGGTAGCTGTCAATCAGCAAATACTCCACTCACACACACAGAGAGGTTTGTTTTTATACCATGTTAGGACGTGGGGCCATACTTATGTCTTTTATTATCATATATCTAAGTTTGTATATGTAATAACAATAATGTGTCCCATTTATATCATATATAAGTATCTTTATGTAATAATAAAACACCCTGTGTGTATTATATGCTATCTTCATACAGATGTTTTTTCAGGGGGTTCTATAGTAAAGGCAGTGTTTCTATTTAGAACCATGAGTTCTGTCTAGAACTATTATATGCTATGCTTCAGATTATGGAGAATGTGTTGTATATGGTTCTGTATAGCACCAAAAAAGATTCTGTGATTGTTACACTGTCAAGCTTGTATACAAAGGTTCTATACAGAACCACACATTCTTTAAAAAAGATGGGTCTTCAGGGGTTCCTTAGAAAAGAAAATTCTTGTTCTTTTTAGAACAATGAACACTCAAGGATGGTTCTTTGTATCATGAAAGGGTTCTTCAGATTGATGCATGAATGTGCTCTAGACGGTTCTGTGGTGTCAAACAATAGAAGAACCCTTTTGGATGCTATAAAGAACCATTTTCAGCAAGGATCTAACCGTGCACAGCACATCCTCCATCAGTCTGAAAAAGTCAGTCTGTTCATGATGCAAAAAACCTCTTTAATCTTGCAAAAGGCTTCTTTGAGTGCTCATGGTTTTATATAGAACCATTTTCTTTACTAAAGAACCCTTGAAGCACCATCTTTTTTAAGAGCGTAAACAACATGTTCTCCATCAATCTGAAGAACCGTTTCACCATGCAAAGAACCATCTAAGCATAAAATGGTTTATATAGAATTCATGGCTCTAAATAAAACTGTTATCTGCACTAAAGAACCCTTGAAGAACCATATTTTTAAAGAGTGTAGTAATAATATGCCCCATATGTGTCTTAAATATATATCAGTGTTTAATGAGACGTTTCCTGACTATAACTATAACCTCAGTCATCAAAACTCCGCTCCAGTTTTGTCTGGTTTTCCTACAAAATCAGATCCTTTGTATCCTGAAAAAGCACAAAAACAAGTTTTCACACATCCACCGCACCTTCTTTCTTGTGTCTGGCTGTGGGCCAGATGGGACCCGTCCAATAAGAAGCTGCCCTTTGGTGGCTGGTGAAAGAGCAGCGGTGGGGAGGGCGAGTGAGATGGGAGGAAGGCTCGGAGAGGAAGAAAGAGAGAAGAGAAAGGCCTTTGAACACTTGCCATGCCGGACTGACAGATATGGCCTCTGTTGTAGTTCCAGCTGTACGGACCTGCAGCTTGGAGGAGTGAGTCACAAAGGCGGAGAGAGAAAGAGAGAGAGAGAGAGAGAGAGAGAGAGAGAGAGAGAGAGAGAGAGAGAGGGGCCAGTGGCTCTGAATCATCATGGACGGTTGACCATCAGTGGGCACACTCACAGGCTTGGAATGAGCCCACTCATACCAGCCGCCCCACAAAAACCTGTCCGATGACTCCTCGTACAGACCACAGGCTCCGACCATAGAACTCGCCAATCTATAATAAAGCCCCAGTCTGCTCAATAACAGCTCCAAAACCATCTGAAAACAGGTGCTCAGACACAAGCTCCAAGGGCAATTCCACCCATTTTTCTAAATTTCTGTATAATTCAGTGTGTGAGATGTAAACATTCAGAGCCCTTTTGGGATTCAGAGAAAGAGATGTCTTTACAGTGGTGGTGATAGGAACCAGGGGTCGCCATGACTACAACACAAATATAGACATTTTATTTACTATAGTAATTAATAATGATAAATCTGCAAAAATAAGTTTTCTTTGGGGACTGTTCTGCCTCACTACACCTTGCATGCATTTCTCTGAACTTTTAAGAATACATTATAGTCCAAAACGATCATAAAACAGTGTCTCAGTTATCAGGCGGTGAATTCATATCCATTTCATGTAGTAACTTTCTGTGAAGGAGCTTTTAGAGGTGGACGTCTGGTTCCTATCACCACCACTGTGAACAATTCTGACTTGGTAAGTTTCTCTAGAACAGAGCGTTTCACACCAAACCACTCTGAATGACTCTGTTTACATCTTAACTCATAAGTTATGCAGAAATTTTGGAAATATTGATGGAATTCCCCTTTAAATGAGTCTCTTAACTGCTTTAAGTGGCTTAGGTGCCTCATTTAAACTAGTTTCTTACTAAGTAAAAATCTGTTGTTGGACTTTTGTTGTCCTTCAGATTAACCTTTAGTAGTCTAGAGGTTTTTAGGGTGGTTACTTTGTAAATGTAAATATATAATTACATGCATAATCGCATTTACATTTAATTTACATTCTGCACCTACAGGTTCAGGTCTGCGTTTCAGGCCTAATCATAATACAGTATCTTACTGTGGGGAAAAATTAAACAGCAATTTGAAAGTTGCTATGAAGGTTAAACCGTTGAACCCAAGACCTAATATTGTTAATCTTCAAACATAATAATAAAGATTACAGTAGAATGAGACCACCTTAATAAAGACTTTCTGAATGGTTTAACATGAGTTTATTATTATTTTACTGTTAATGCTTATTAATTGGTTCATAAACACTTTAAAATTGGTAATGAGCAGTTACAACACTTAAAAAAGAGCAACAGTGACTTGTTGCTTGTCAAATAGTGAGAACACATTTACTTGTACGGTTAAACTTCAGATTTTGCTGGTCTTTTCCTTCAGCCAGCAGTAAACCTGTCATATGCTTTATCGCGTATTCATATCCAGCAGATACAACAGGTCACCTTTGCCTCATTTATCAATGTGTTATAACTATTTATAATTTTATAGGTGTTAATGACCCAATTAATAACCTTTAATGAACTAATTTCAAACTGTTCATAAACGCTTTATAAGGGTAACCTTATTCTAAAGTGGTACCAGGATTATATATGAATACAGTCAGGAATAATAAAGACTTGTTAGTGAGTTTTTCCTATCATTTTTGATAACTGCTATAAAACTTGTAATTGTCCATTTTTTTTCAGTTTTGAACATAATTTGAAAATGCCTGTAGCCCTTTATATTGTCTGTAAATTTCATGATGAATGGACTAAAAGAAACAACCCACAGTGGCTTGGAAAAAAGTCTGGTTCCTTTGACTTACATTAAAAGTAAAGTATGTTTTTTCCTTCTCCTGTAAAGTTACCACTTTGGAGATTTTGTTCTGACAACAGCGATATATAAGATATATGAGTAAAACTGGCAAACGCATTGTTCTTGCTGAGTTGTTGCTTTGTGGCATTAATACAGATTTATTTACATTGACAGAGCCATCTTTTATTGCTTTTATTATTATTATTATTATTAGCAATAGAAGTAGTAGTAGTAGTAGTATTATGACAGGCTTATTTTATCTGGCAATAACTGCAACTTCTAATCAAAGTAGCTCCACTGACTTTAACCTTTCTATTAGAATACAGTTGTTTCAGAAGTTTTGGCGCCCCTGGTCCGTGTTGAAGTGCAAATAAGTGAACACATTCTGTATAGAGAGACACTACTACACATTTTAATGCACATTTACTGTTTATTTACTAAATTTAGCATACTGGAGGGAAAAATACATCAAAAAGTGTGGCCTGCACAACAGTTATGGCACATTTTTATGTTAAACTTGGTAAATGAATAGAAATTATGCAGTAACGTTTGCAGAAAATGCCATGTTTAAGTGTGTAAGCTGACGAGAGGCGTTTTTCAGAGGTGCACTCTCAGGCATTGACGCTGTTTATGACTGTAAACAGCGGAAGCTCTGAGAAACAAATGCGTTCACAGTGTTCCTGTTTATGAAACTAAAATATGAAGAAGGAATTTTGTTTTTAGAGAAGGAAACAAAAGCAATTGTGGTGTGAAAGTGCACAAGACGTACTTTTGAGAGCACAAGTCACTGACCATCCTGTGTCCATCAAATCGCGTGACCCTGACCCTGACCCCACGTTCGGCCCTTACACAATAAGGCCATAGTGCTGCTTCAGACCGGCAGCTCCTCACATTGTGTGAAGAATGCAGCGTGAATGTGTGTGAGGTTCTGTGAGTGTGTGTGTGTGTGTGTGTGTGTATGTGTGTGTGTGTGTTGGCCCCCCACAGAAAAAGCAGAAGTAACTGTTGCCACTCAGCTCATTTTTTAACCCTAACATTCTTCACAGTTGAGGGAGTGCTGCTTCTGTTCCCCTCAAACACTGAATCAGCCCACAGCACCCTCTCATAACTCACACATATCAACACCGTAACACATCCACTGTAGGGGGTAGGGATGGGAATCTATACACACCTCACAATCACGTTCAGTTTCAATGTAAACGTTTCATTTCTGTATCCTAAATGTGTGGTTTTCAGTTACATACATTCAACAAAAATAATCATTTTGAATACAATTTTGGTTTGAATGTTTGAATTTTAAAGTTCACTATGGCTTTGGTATTGTATGTTATATACACAACCAGTTTGTGACTGCAAACATGCGTGCATTAGTAAGATTCTTTTTTTTCTTTTTCATTTTTTGTAATTCTTTAGTTATTTTTATTTTTTTTGGTTATTTTGCTTATTTGAAAAAAAATAAAACATCAAAAATAACTAAATATTTGGGTCAAGCTCAGTAATTGGTCTGGCAAAATGAGTGACCAATGTAACCGCCCTAGCTAAATAGATACGTTTATGCCTTTAGTGCAAGTAAATGTAAAATATCTGTATGGAATTCGTGCGTCATGGTTAAATGGCTACAAAGAGAAAACAGTAGGATTTTTTGCTGTTTATTATGTTTATGTATGCTTTATTATACAGTCAAGTGAAATTTGGTAGGCTACACTGATCATTGTGTACTGTTTGCTTGCATCTGAAATAAATGGGCTTCGTCTTGTTGTTTAGTCCACGAGTTGCGAAAGGTTGGGAGCTTCTGGCTTCTAGTATAAAAAGATATTTGTTGTTTTTTGAGAGGGTGGGGTTAGATTCACTTTCTGTCAAATCAAACGTCCTCACAGGCCAAATTTTATTACACACTAAATAATACAATACTGAGTAACACAACATTGTCCTGAAAACTATTCCAGGTCTGGTTTTGAAAGCGCTGTTCGTGAGCTCCTGCTGGTGTGGGTTTCTTCTCTATATATGAGCACACAAATGTAATATGCTGCTAAGCTAATAGGTTCCTCTTGTAGAGAAACTTGTCTGCTCAGCAAATCTGGTCTCACTTTATTTGGATAGTCCGCTATAGATTTTCTACAGATGTTCAAATTGTTAACAAACTTGAGTATAACTTGAAAGTAAATTAAGTATCTATAAGGACTATCCAAATAAAGTGTTACCCAAAAATCTGATTAGGATGTTTTGTGAGTCAATTCAGAATCTTTTGAGAGAGAATTGTGATTTAAGAGTCGTTTCTTTTTCCCCTTCCTAATCTGCTCACACACCAGAAGCATTTGCTGAGTGTGTTCTTCACTTTTTTGATGACACTCTTGAAGTTCTCTCTTCCTTTCTTCTTTTCCAGGACTGAACAAAACCAGCTCGTTCTCCTGCGAGGCTCATAACCGCAAAGGTGTGGCATCATCCGGCTCTGGAGTTGTAACCGGTGAGTGCGTGTTGTGAGGTGACAGCGATTACGCTGAGCTCAGCATCTGACCTGCTTTCACGTCCTCTTCTCTCTTTAGTGGTTTCTTTAAATTTCCCTCAGTTCAGACCAGTAGTCTCTGTGTTACGTAACCTTCAGACACTCAACTGGCGGTTTGGCTCATTGGCCATTTTATCAGAAACACCCACCATGTAGGTGCACCTTGTAGGTTCACAGTTACAGACTGTAGCTTATCTGTTACTGCGCAGTTTATCAACTCACCTCTACCACTATCACTGGAAAGGGACCACTGTAGGACCACGACTTACCATGACTGGACAGCACGTAGCGCTGTATGTCTGAAAGTCTGTAGACGCCAGCGTTTCTTTAAATGAAGGGTGTTAATAGTGAGTTTGTGCTACAGTAACAGCTGTAGCAACACTAGATGTTGAACATTGCTGTGAGGATTTGATTAAGCATTAGTGAGGTCAGGTACTGATGTTGGATGGTCAGTTCTGGATCACTCCACCTCATCCCAAAGATACTGGATGAAGCTCCATCACTCCAGAGAACACAGTTTCACTGCTCCACAGCCCAAAGCTGGGGAGCTTCATACCCCTCTAGCCTACACTTGGCATTGGATATGGTGACCTTAGGATCATGTGCAGCTCCAAAGTGTCCAAATCTGTTGGTCAGTGCTTTTCTATACAAGCTGTCAGCAATAGGTGACCTTAAAGTAGATGACTTCACTCATTAGAAGGTCCATCTGGAAACTTTTGGACATGTAGAGAACCTTTGGTAGTATTTGTGTTGAAATCATGTGGAAATAATGTGCACATTTGATCAAGAAGAACTCAATGCAGCATTTTTTCTTTCTCTCTCTTTCTCTGCAGTCCTCCCTGCTCAGCCGCAGGACGTTAAGCCTGCAGAGGTCACAAACTCCAGCATCCGTCTGTCCTGGACTCCAGGCTTTGCAGGAATTTACCCCATCACTCTCTGTACAGTTCAGGTAGGAGTCCTGCTTGCTTTTACTAGGCTAAATATAGGCTAGCTAGAAGTTAACAAAGCACCAGTTATGAATTTTGGCCAATTTTTAATTTTTTTTTACTGAAACTCCCACTTTATGGGTTAAATGAACAAATGAAACACAATAGCACATTTCTGGAGCTTTCCATTCTCCAAAGTCGCAATATGCTCAAGATCTGTAAGCAAAACTGGCACTTTAAATTCTTAAATGAAGAATCAACTATTCAACCAGTCAGCTATTTAAATAACATGAATCAAGTGCAGCATCAAAAGTAAGACTGGCTATTTAACACAATGAGTCGTGTATAATTAAGAGACAACATTTTGGTTCAGGTGTAGCATTCTACTAGTTAGGGCATCTACTTTGTCCGTATCAGATGTAATTTTTAAACAATGGTCAGATTTCAGCTTTAATTTACTATATTAGAATTCAACTGGGTCAAAAGTTTGTCTACACCAAGTTGACTGTCTCTAAACAGTCTGAAGTATTCAAAAAATTGACTGTAATGACTTGTCGATGCTTTTGCTCGACAATTTGTCATAGATAGTAGTGAGTAGTGCACATGTGGCTTTATTTAAGGACCTACGCTTAGAGTCACTTTTTGCACTTGATACTATGGAAAAAACTTAAGCAACTCAGCCAAGAGTAGAGTTGAAGCCAGTTCCTTCTTAGGGGCAACTTCCAGAAGGTACCATGAGCATCTGCATAAATAATTGTATGCAAATATAAAAATCTTGGGACCACACAGACACTGCATCATTCAGGCAAAAGACTCAAATTAACTCCCAGTGCTGAACGAACTGAACCCCAAAACACCAACAGAGACAAGTGAAGGGGTTGAAGGCATCAGGTACCAAAATATCTACATCCACCATTTAGAGAGTCCTACATCTCAATGGCCTGAAAGCCTGAAGCCTGACTGCAAGACTGGCATTAAAAAGCCAGGCTGAAATTTGCAGGTGACAACCAAGACCATTTGGAACAGTGTTCTCTGGTCACATAAAACAAAAAATTGAACTATATAAAAAGGAGTTCTTTTAATCCAAAGAACACCATCCCAACTGTGAAGCATGGTGGTGGCAGCATCATGTTGTCAGGGTGTTTTGTTGGAAAAGTTCAGAAAATAGAAAGCATCATGAGGGATGAGGATTATCTAGAAGTCCTGAAGCAACACCTCAGGACATTAACCAGAGAGTTAAAACTTGGTCTCAGTTGGGTCTTTCAGTCAGGACACAGATTCCTTCAAAGTTATGAAGAAATGGCTTAAAGATAACAAAGTAAAAGTACCGGAGTGGCCTTCAAAAAGCTCTGACCTGAGTCCCATAGGAAATCTGTGGACTGAGCTGAAAACGTGACTGAGCTACAGCAGTTCTGTTAGGAGGAGTGAGTTAAAATTCCAGCAGAGTGTTGTGAGAAGTTTGTGGGATGCTGCCACTAAATACTATCAAAGAGTATGTAAATGTCTGATCCACTGAAAATCTGTTGTAGTAAATGCCCTAATAGACTTAACATGGGAAATATATGGTCTCTTGAAATGTGTGGAGTTGTGAAAAACTGTGTTTGAAAGTCTTTAGTCTTCGTGTTTGTTAACATTTGGCCTCAATTGTGCGTCTGTGGGTGTGCAAATCACAAACAGTTGAGTAGCTCCACACTAGAAGTTCTTGTGTGACCAGTTTGTAACAAAGTAAAAGTGGTGATGTTTTAGGGGATCAGGTATCTGAGAGTGGTCTCGCTCCCTCTGAGGCCCTGCTGCAGCAGCGAGAGTGAGGGTCTGTATTCTTTCGTAGTTGAGCTCCACCCCAGAGCGTCTGGTTCTAATAAAAGCGCCCCCTCTCGTGCCCCACGACTCCCCCACCGTTGAGCCGCACTAAAGGAGGAAATGGGGAGAGAAGGGGGCTCAGCGGGTCGGGACAGGAAGGGGGGGCTGCAAATCTTTACGGTCCAAACCTGAAAACGTGAAATGCTGCGGTACCTTTGTGTAGAGAGGAGCGTGTGTTAGTCTGCTGTGAGTCTGTAAGTTTGTACAGTTAAAAACAGTCAAAACTGTGCACTCAGATTGTTTCTGCCTCGCTCACGGCTGCTTTGGATGTAAGAGTCTGCCAAAGACAAATAAATTATACATTAGAAAGAAAAGAAAGAAAGAAAGAAAGAAAAAAGAAAGAAATAAGAAAGAACAAGAAAAAGGGAGGAAAGTAGGTAGAAAGAAGGGTAGAAAAGTGCACTGAACAAATGTGTGATAGAGAAAAAGAAGGCAGTTTTGGAAGAAGAAAGAAAGGAAAATACATGAAGGAAGAGAGGAAGGACGGAAAGAAAGAAAGAAAGATGAGAAAATGGAAATAAAGGTAAAAAAGTGCACTTAACAATTGGGTAGTAAAGAAAAAGAAGGCAGTTATGCAAAAAGAAAGAAAGGAAATTACATGTAAGAAAGAAAAAAGACAGACAGAAAGAAAGAAAGAAGGAAAAAAAGAAAGAAAATGGAAATAAAGATAAAAAGATAAGATAAAAATGTGCATTGAACTGGTGAATGAGAGAGAAAAAAAAGACTGCTGTGCAAGAAGAAATAAAGGAAAGCCTGTAAGAAAAAAAGAAAGAAAGAAAGAGAAAAAAGAAAGAAAGAACATTATAAAGTTGGTATTTGGATAGACAAGTTAAAATGTATATGAGAGAGAAAAACGCAGAAATAAGGTAATTACACAAGAAGAAAGAAAGAAAGAAAGAAAGAAAAGGAAGCAAAGAAGGAATTAAGTAAATAGAAAGAAAAAAGCTTTGGAAAAGTATAAACAAGTATATTGAACAGGTGTATGAAAGAGAAATAGAAAGAAGGCAATAAAAAGAAAGAAGGAAAAGAAAGCAGGAGTGCAGCAGTACTGGACAGTGTGAGGACATGGAGAGACGCTGAGCTCTATTAGGAGGATGCAGTGGTGCGAAGTGGTGGAGAGAAGGTAGTTATATGAGAAGAAAGAAAGGAAGAAAGACTGATAAAAAGAAATAAACAGTGCAATGCAGAAGTGCTTCATTGAGATTTGAATCAGGGAAATTTAGTGCACATCATTTAAGAGATGAGCAGTGCACTGAACAGGTGAGCGCAGCAGTAAAGGAGTGAGGGAAGAGACTGGAAGCCTTTTTAGGGACAGTATAATCAGTGAAGGAGTGAGTGAGGGCAGAGGAATGAGCAGCCCTTGTGAATAACAATCCAGCAGTGCTTGTCATTTAAGCAGCCTTGTTTACTGAGCTGACTCACAGTCGCTGCGCTGTGACTCACAAGTGACTCGTCCTGCCGCTCGTGTGGATCCACAGTCTTCTGCGCACTTACTGTTCCCCTGTCTTTCCTGTACTTCAGGGAGAACAACTTCTCTTTAACCCAGAACTCTGACTCATCCCCATTCACATACCACCGCACTCGCCAAATCATACCCCCACCCACCCGACTTCATCCACAGCCTCTAGAGCTCCACTTGCGGTTATCGTTCTCTCAGGTTTCACTAGGAATGCCGCAAAATGTTCAGGCGATTGCTTGAACAAGTGGCTGGCAGGTTGCAGTGTTATTTTAGACATGGACAACAAATAAACAGCAGCAGACAACACAGACCCAGACACAAGCCTGAAAACCTCATTGAGGTTTCACAATGATTGAAGTCTTTTCCCTTTTGCAGCTTCTTGTGAAGTTCTTTGGATTTTGCAGTATTTAAGGACTTTTAAACTAATATCTGTGTACCAGCCAGCAAGCAAGTTAACTCTTTCCTGTAAACTGATTGATCCTGACTGGATATCAGCCACACATCAACAGTGGGTAAAGCAGGAGTATAAGAGGGGACCCACTACATAGCCCTGAGGGTACACCACTGTTGTGGGTGAAGATGGAGTACAAGGTGGGACCTAGCACATAGCCCTGAGAAAACACCACTGTTGGGGACACCACTGTTGTGGGTGAAAGGGAGGTATGAGAGGGGATTCAGCATATAGCCCTGAGGGACACCACTATTGGTGGTGATAGACTGGCACTCTGAGGTTAATTTGTCAGTTGTAGTGGTTTACCTGGCCCAATTATGTCAAGTCTGATGAAGCATCTCTGTTGAGTATCATTGGATTTGCTGTGAACCTGGCTGATATCAATGAAGAGCATTCTCAAATAGTCAAAGCCAGATGTACATTTATTACTGCTCTGTCATGAACTACTCATTCCATGCCATATTTCATAAAGTATGCCATTTCTGTTGCAAAGTGGTTATAATAAGCAGAAAGTAAGCTGGGATTGCTTTAGTCCTCCTTGTGCCTTTTCCCACAACATTCATTTATATGGAAAAAGACGGAAAAGAGAGAGTGTGGGTGCGTAAGAGGGACAATTTCTTATTTTTTCTGCAGTAGCTCTCGTTATTGAATCCACTACACAGCCGAGAACAATTTTAGAGACGGTACGACCTTTTCATGTGGTTTAGGAGCTGAGCGAGGGAAACTTCTGGGCTGGCGTTCGGTGTTTTGATGCTGTTTATTGCACAGGCTTTGCAAAGCCAGCACGTTCCTTTCTCCCTGCTGCTTTCTGCTGATGTGAATGGTTTTCATGTGTCCTGCTGGGCCCAGAGTGTGTCTCGCACTGCAGCCGAATGCTAATGACCTCAGTCAATAGGAGTACAGTGTGGGCGCTTAAAAAGTAGCCAAGAACAGCAGGGCAACGCCTCGAGGGCTGTGCGTTCGTCTGTACTGAGCATAGATGGCAAAAACAATGATCAGATAAGTGTCTAAACACCCTCACTTTTGCCGTGGGGCCATAGAGAAGAGAGAAAAAGGGAAAAGGGGAAGTGGAAGGGATTACTTCTTGTTTGTGTTAAAATGAAAGCAAATGGCCAAAAGTGTTGCAGTAATCAGGTTGTCTTGCGGCTTCTGAGGAAAGGCCCAGTTGGCAACAATTTGCCAGACTGCACTGCTAACAACAAGAATAATATCATGATCAGCTTTTATTGTACTTCCAACCGGCCACTTCCAGCACAGTCAGGAATTTGTGTTTAAGAAAGTTCTGTTGTTGTTGTTGTCAAAAAAAAATAAAAAAGAAAAACTTTTAGAATGTATGGTAATGTGAAAAAATTATATTCTACATAATTTAAAAATGTCAAATCATTATCGATGGTCAGAAAATGCAGTACCGCTTCTTTTACAGTCCCTTAAGTTCTAGATATTAACCAGTGAAGTGTGAGGTACAAACTCCAAAGTGCTTGATAATCATTTTGAGTAACATGTTGGTAAGTTCCAAGACAGTTCAACTGAATTACATTGAAACACATGGCAGGTTCTAGATATTACCTGGTTAAGAGTGTGGTACAGACTCCAAAGTGCGGTGTAACCATTTTTTGGTAAAATTGGGGAATACTAGAACAGTCTGTCTAAATTCCACTGAAATACCTAAAAGGTTCTGACTATTAAATAGATGAAATAACAGACAAAGTAAAATATCTCATTTTTGGATTATTATTTGGAAAAACAAGGTGGTAAATATGTACAATCTAACTAACTTTAACTTTGATGTCAAATGCTTAGGTAAGGAAACAAATTGGAAACATTTAAATAAAGGTTCTGTTTGAGTTCTAGATAGTAGACACATACGTACTGTTAGACTCTTGCTGAATTACCTTTTTACCTGCTATTCAGAGGTGTTTCTAAGCGTATGACATTAAAGTTAAACTTAGTGTTGTTTTGCTGTATTTACCACTTTGTTGCTCCAAATAATGTGTCCATTTATTAGATATTCTCCCGTCTCCTTTATCTGCTTAATAGCTAGAACCTGGTAGTCATTTCAGAGAAATTTAGTTAGACTGTTTTGGTACTAAGCCCAGAATAATTACACAGTACTTGGAGTTTATTTTCTATCCATACACAGTATATTATATAGAACCTGTTTGATAAGCTAGGTAGACTACCTGGAACTTACCATCATGTTACCCAAAATAATTATCTAGTACTTTGGAGTTTGTTCCACATACTTACCTGATGAATACCTATAACTTGGGGGTTCTGTAAAAGAAAGTGTTACAGCTGATATCTGCTGATATCTGCCTGATGTCGATACCCATCGATAGAGTTTGGTAATTATTTAGTAATTTAACAACATAAATAACAAGTGAGATATAACAAGATATAAGATATAACACCCCCTGTCAAACTGCATGTTTTGTTGAAGCGAAAATAAGTGAACACTCACTCTACAGTGAACTGAAATATGACATTTGTTTGCAAGAATATTAACATATCGCAGAATTTTCCAGGATGTGTTAACTTACTTGCTCTTAGAAAATCATCAAAACATGTAATTCAACCAGGGATGCCAAAACTTTTGAAAACAGCTGTAAATATAAGATCTAAGATGATCTACAGTGAAGAGCTTTGATTAAAAATGTAAAAAGAAAGTCATTTTAAAAAGAATAAAATATTGTATACTGATACTAAAGGTTTCAGTATCAGTATCGATACATTAAAAGTGGTATTGTTCCATCTTTAGCATCATTCTGTTTTTATTGGTCTGTTCATCATGTAATAATTCACAGTGTAAAGCACAGCTGGCATTTGTGCTGGTAATAAACGTTGATATGTCAGTGATGAAATATTCAACTGTTATTAATGGTCATATTATCTGTCTTCAGGTCAGACCATCAGGAGAGGACTTGAATCCAGATCACGTGATCCACAACCAGAACGTTAATGTCCCACCTGCCACCCACCTGGTCTCTGACCTGGAGCCCTTCAGCCAGTACGATGTGAGAGTGGCCTGCCGGAGCAGCGAGGGCGTCTCTGATTGGACGTCGTGGGTGACAATCAGCACCAGTGAAGGAGGTAAGGAGCTCCTCATTGATGACACTTGTACGACCACAAAACTAGATTCATAAGCAGAGTCACTGGAGCGCTGGACAGCAGCCTGTGGAGAAACAGCAGCCGCTGAACTTTTATTAACCTTTTTTTAAACTTTTTTTGTGTTGCAACCTCAGGTTGAGACCCTGCGATGTCATCATTTTGCAGTTCGAGGAGTTTTTTTTAGAGAACCTGCTCTGTTGAGTAACTGAACAAAAGCAGATTTATCATAGGTCAGTAAGATGACTGACTGAGAGAGCAGCAGCTTTCAGTGACTTTGCTAGTGCACTATAAAAAGCAGTTTGAAATTAAAGGGCCCATATCCTATATTTCCAAACATATCGCATGCAGCTGTTTTACTGCCCTGTTGCGGCTCCAGAGTAGAATTAGATTTGTAGGTAAAAATAAATAAAATTAACGTTAATGGTCTTAAACGCTGGAGTTAATGTAGAACTGCTAATTCACACTTTAACCCTGAAGATCAGGCTGCTGGTCACCATAGCAACACAGACAACAATCTCGCCTAGCTAGTAGCTAACGAAAAGACAAAGAGAAAGATTTAAGACAAACATCGATAATTTGGAGACAAATGGACTTACTAGCATTAATAGTTACTCCATCTGGTTTTCTGATACGTTTAATCTGCAACGAGAAACTGTCAAACACTAAAAAGTCGCAAGGCTAAAGTCAGATTCTCATTCGCCAGCTTCTCATTCAAATTTGTATGCGAGAATAGCAGCTATAGCTCAGCTAAAGCTTAAAACAGAGCAAAGTAAGTCTGTGTTTTTGTTTCTATTATATTTTTAGCCTATATTAGTACATCAGCACATACAGAGACATATTTACAGCCAAGATGGTGAAATGGACATAAAATGTTGTGACTCCCAAGGTGGTTTGATTTTTGTTGAAAGGACTAAATGGCTCTTCTTAACATTTGGGTTGTGACCCCTGCCCTGAGTCTACTCATAACGTTTGCAGTTTTATGTACCGGTGATAATTCATTTCTACATGACCATTTTCCCATCTCTCTGTATCCCTTTGAATTCAAGAGGCTGTTTTTGTTACTCTGCCTTTAAGACTGATATATGTAAATGAGCTCTGTTCTGACTGGTTGCCCTACTGTGCCTCATTAAAAGAGCAGTTCAGGCTGAAACACTCCTACTGGTCTGATTATCATGAAATTTGAACACAGCTGCTGTTCAAATTATGTAGAAAACTAAAAATCACAAAAATAGGAGATGCTTGTTTTTTATATGTAAATGTGACATCACAAAAACAATTACTTCAAAACAGGCTGGTTTTGCTGCCTAGTTTTTATATATGAGCTGCGTTCCAAAGTCTAGGCTGCATGTCTCGGCCACTACGTCATAGCAGACCGTTCCAAAGTGAGGGACCCTTCATATAGAGCCTAGAAATGCAGTCTACGATCGGCGCAGAGCTTGTTTAAAAATGTAAGCTGTTCATTCGTCTTCGTTACACTATAAAGTGTAAAATCTGTGTAACGCTCTGGTGACATCACCACACAGCCTCGTTAGGACTGCTCCATTTGTGTGACCAATAGGCCACTAAGGAGGAGTCTTTATAGGACAGTCCTACCGAGGACCCGCGCTACCTCGGCTGCAGTCTACGTTTTAAAACTTTAATGATGTTTAGACATTACTTCACTCATTTTTCCACAATATGGGCCCTTTAAAAGAGAAACTAATTCAGCTGCTTTGATTTTAGGTTCAGGTTCAGCCCAATAGAAAGTTAAACAGAACAGTAATCTGTCACTGTATTATTTAAAGCTTGATACAATCAAAAATGAAGGGTGCGTTTGCTTCTTTAAGTGTTTACAGGCAGACTATAAGGGTGGGCAACATGACAAATGTCACATTTATACTGGAAGACATTGTACAAGACTTGTATGGCAAATTTTTTTCTGAGGTTAAGCAGGTTGGAACGGACAAAACGCACCAGCAAAAACACAACTGCAACATTTAAAACAGCTGTGAACGCTACGAATACAGTCATTTATCACAATAATGATAACATATCGTTGCATTGCCCACCCTCAGATGGATGTGGCGGTGTCGTTAGTATCGGGTGATGGTGGAGAAACAGAGACTGCAGTGTTCCTGCAGAGGAAGCTGGGAAAGGCCGTTGCAGTGCTGCTATTTCTGTGTGCAGAGTAAATGAGCTGTGAGAGGTTTATACGCAGGTCCTCAGTCGGTACCTCCAACCACCAAATACTATTTCAAACATAAACTGCTAGTGGAAAGGGGCGGGACCACGCGGGGAAGAGGCGGGGAAAGCGGATTATCATGAGCGTGGCTGAAAGCGTGTGGGTTTGTGTTTGTTTTCATACATTTTTAGGCCAAAAAACAGGCTGAACCACAAAATCAGGACCAGAAAAATAAGACTTTCTGAAGAGGTTTTTAGAAAAAATACTTTTGATATTTTTAAAGGGCAGAAACATTTTGTTTTATGACATGTAGTTCTCTGTAGATCTACAGTTACAGACTGTAGTCCACCTGTTTCTCTGCATACTCTCTCTCATTCTCTCATTCTCTGGGGCGAGTGGATCAGACACAGCAGTGCTGCTGGAGTTTTTAAACACCTCAGTGTCGCTGCTGGACTGAGAATAGTCCACCAACAATAAATATCCAGCCAACAGTGTCCTGTGGGCAGCGTCCTGTGACCACTGATGAAGGACTAGAGGATGACCAACACAAAATGTGCAGCAGCAGATGAGCTGTCTGACTTTACATCTACAATGTGGACTGACAAGGGAGGAGTGTCTAATAGAGTGGACACGGAGTGGACACAGTGTTTAAAAACTCCAGCAGCACTGCTGTGTCTGATCCACTCACCCCAGCACAACACACACTAACATGCCGCCACCATGTCATTGTCACTGCAGTGCTGAGAATGACCCAC